TTTAATTAATTAAAAAGTAAATTAAAACAGATCAAAACTTGCGTCTGTGCGTCACTTAATGACGCACAGTAACGTTACCTCAGACTATGGTGTAGAGGCGAGCTCAGAGAGCTAACGTTAAACAACTTTGTGGCGGAAACGCGATTTAAATTGAAGAAAACTTAACTTCTGTGAAATAAATGAACATTTCTTTATTTTTTTTCCTTTTTAAGGAATAAATCAGCATTGAAATATAAGCATAAACGGTCTCTGTCCTACGTTTGACCACGTTGGGTGCAGGTGAGTGTTCATCTAACGTTATTAACTTTAGCTGACAGACCAAGCTTTTGTGGGTTTAGTTTGTGATATGATCGCTTGTTAACTTATTTCCCCATACAAATGTACAGCATGCATTTATTGCTAGCATAAAACCCGCGATGTTCTTATGCAAACACTGTGGCGTCTCTGTGGAGACATTATACGCCTTTATTAATCATGCAAAAGGGCACAAAAACATGGCGAACTTCAGGTTTTCGTGTGCAGTTTCTGAATGCCCATGCACGTTTCAAAGCCTCTCTGCACTTCAGTCGCATATGTACCGCAAACACAGAAAGGCCGCAAAAATAAAGAACAGATCTGAACAACATGATTTAAATTCTCAATGCAGCGTTGAAGGTTGTACATTCGTGACGACTAAATTCGCCAGGCTTTGTGAACACCTGAAGTGGCACATTCGAGATGGTAAAAAAGTTGAATGTCCGATGATTGGCTGTAAAAAGTATTTTAGAGTCAAGTCATCATTTTCAGCACACCTCAGTAGAAAGCATAAATGTGATTTTCAGAAATCCGTCTGTGCAAATATTACTGAGATCTCTGTTGCTGTGCCAGATGTGAATGATCTTAGGGAAGGCTTTGATGATGTGGAATTTCAAGATGGTCCAGCCATTCAGCTTGACAAAGACACATTTCTGACTAATTTGGCTTTATTTTATTTGAGGATGCAATCAAAAATGATTCTGCCAGCCACAACAATTCAGATTTTAATTGATGAGTTCATGGAGGTGCATACAAATAGCATGACACACGTCTTGTCCAAAGTTCATGTAGAATTGGCAAAGCTAAAAATTCCAGACTCTCAAATAAATGAAATAATAAGTGGGTTATCTAAAGAAAACTTACTTAAGATGTATAATGAGGGATATTTTAAATCAGATCAGACACGGAAGTCCTTTTTCAAAAAACATTTCAATTATGTAGAGCCTGTGCAAGTGTACCTAGGCTGTGATGCATCTGGGAAGGAGCGCTATTTCCAGTACGTACCAGTAAATAAAACTCTGAAGGCATTTCTGAACAATGGATCTGTTAAAGAACAGTATGATGAGGCCACGGGGCACACACCACAAAATCCTCATTTACTGCAGGATATAAGGGATGGGAGAAAATTTCAAGAAAATACTCTTTACAAAGAGTATTCATCAGTTGTGTCTCTGATTTTATATCAAGACGCATTTGAGGTAGTTAATCCCCTTGGCTCTGGAAGAAAAAAGCACAAGCTGGTTGCTATGTACATGACACTTTCAGAAATCTGTCCTCATAATAGATCGTCTATTGATCCTATGCAGTTGGTCATGCTTTGCAGAGAGGAAGATTTTAAGTTTTTTGGGCAGCAACAAGTTTTCAGTCCTCTTTTGAGTGATCTGAAG